TTCCTTAAAGTTAGTCAGACAGAGATTTCCAAACTCACTAAATTTATCCCAGGCAATATACACATAGTGATCTTACCTATTTGAAACAAAGGATTATTTGTTTTTAATATTTTATCTCCTACCCTACCCTCCTTTACTAAATTTCATTAAAATCCGTCCGGCCGTTTAAGCGTGAAGAAGTAATAAACATACAAACACACACACGGACAAACCTTCGTCTTTATATTATTAATGTGATAAAAGACCATTGTAAAACTATAAAATCAAAATCAACATCAACATCAAATCAAATCAATTTATTTGCAAACACAGGTACATTTATAGGTGTTACAAAGTATAGATATCTGCTGCATATTACCACATTATTGGTGTGCAAATATTTATCATTAAAATGTTACATATATAACAATAACAATTCAAAATACACTTTGCCAGAAGAATAAGTTATAATACAATTATTATTTTAATTGTCAGTCATCTCAAATTATAAATAAATTAATGTCACAGACCGTACATTGCATAAGTTACCTATATTATTGGATATTGATGTCTGTTAAAAATTCGTTCAAGCCAATATTATCATTACATATGTTACATTTCTCATAAAATTTTGTCATTCATAAAATCATCTATACTGTAATAACATTTTTGACTTAGAAATTTTTTGAATGTCTTTTTAGATAATTCTATGTTTAATATTATCAGGAATCTCATTATAGATTATTGGAGCTTTGCACACAACACTTTTATGTAATAGCGCTGTTTTGGCGGGATGAATACAAAGTCTATTGTTGTTACGTCGATTATTCCTACCGCTATATACTCGTACATCAGCTAAACGTGGAAATAAGTGTTGGTTGTTTTTGACGAATAACGCTGTTTCCATTATGTATAGTGATGGGAGCGTGAGAATATTATGCTTTATGAATACCGACCTACAGCTCTCTTTAGTTTGGAGGCCGAACATAGCCCGTATGCATCGCTTTTGTATTTTAAGCACCATATCTTTATTGGTAGAGTTGGCCCAGAAGATGATACCATACCTAAAAATCATATCTTTAAATTTGAATGATATAAAGGTATTTTTGAATTTGAATGATTAGTTAGGATTTTTATAGAGTATAATAAATGCACTTTAAATCCCGTACATACATATAGCTTTCATCGCAATGACGCAGGTGTTTTATCTGAACAATTTAGAGTTACTCGTCCCGTTCCACGACGATGCAATAATACACCACGCTCCATTTGTACTTTCAGCAATTTGTTTTAGATTCACGTGCGTTTTTTGGTATTTAAAGCATTTTTGTTTTTTTAGAATAATTTTACTCTTCGTTGTATTTTAAAAGCACTGTACTGCACTGAATAATAGGCATACACAGCATAGTAAGGTCTTGTGATACCCTACATGGGATAATTTTGTTATTCACAGATAGTCATTGTGTGTCAGAATGTATTTTGAATTCATTCGCATCTCTCTCCTGATACAAATGGTTAGTTTAGTAGACGATTGATAAGAACTAAAGTGCTTCTGGTGATCAAATTTCGATAACAGTAGTTACTTTTACTTTTTTGTAACTTAAACTTTAGTTATTTACTTTAGTAACTTGAAATGCCATTGTTGTGATAATAATATATTACTCGTTTTTAATTTCTATTACCTAGTAAAATCTATATAAATATAAAAGAGTTACTATTTATAATAATTTTAACGTATTGACTTGACCATCGTTGTTGTATGTAATTTTAATCATAATCCTTTTACCTATTAACACATTTATACAATACGATATTATTTGCAACAACTTATATTTCGTTTTAGCAATAAAACAAATAAAATAAAACAAAGTAAATAAATAAATAAAATAAAATAAAATAAAATAAAATAAAATAAAATAAAATAAAATAAAATAAAATAAAATAAAATAAAATAAAATAAAATAAAATAAAATAAAATAAAATAAAATAAAATAAAATAAAATAAAATAAAATAAAATAAAATAAATACACAGTCCTTTAATTTTAAAATATTCCCTGTTACTGAAAATACTGAACAGTTCCGAATCATTTACTCTTGATTATCCTGCTCTAAAGATTTATTTAAGCTTCCCTAGAAGATAATAAGGCGGATCGGATTACGATCTTTTACTACAGAGTGGAACACATTATACTTATAAGTCTAAGATCGCTATATCAACAGCTGCTTTAACAGATTTAGCTTTTTATACTTTAGATAAATAATTTAACTTTGTTAAATTATTATTAACCACTGCCAGTCACTTACAAAGGGTTTTAGTCGATGTGTAGAAAAATCATGATCATGGTATTCAATATCGTATCCAATATATTAATACATTACATAAAACCGTAACATTACTTAAATTCTGTTTTCGGTTCCCCCCACAATTCTTATATAACTTTAGGTTTAGCTTAGGGCACATGTTGGATTCTCTTCTAAATAATTCCTTCTATTTATCACTGTTTCCTCAAACGTTATACTAGTTATACCCAAGCAATTACATAAAATCAAAAACTGTATCACTATAAATATATTACGCGATCATTATCATATAACAATACATTTTATGTATTTGAATTTACCCTTACCCACTTCCATATCAAGTTACCTACTTAAAGTTATTGTGGAAATAAAGACAATTGATAGCATACTTAATAATTTAGATGCCTATTTCCCCATCTGAAGCTACGCAAACCAAACACAACAAACGAATCTGAAATACCAATTCAAAACACTCGCAACATTAATATAGAAAAAGATATTCAGTACCACGTCGTTGCTTTATATCTTTTATTTCCGTTTTGTAAAATTTCGCCCCATAACATTATGTTGATAGCGGCAATAACGTTTGAAATATTTACGAATATCCTAACAAACGAGGCGGGTGTTGATAAATAGACGATGCTGTGCCGGATTGACCGTGCCAGAATAAAGATTAGCTCAGGACCGCGAACATTTTTCACGCGACAACAATTTGTTCTAAACTCGGCGGTCTGTGAAATAAAAGAAGCGTTTTATCGGACGAAGTTTCTTTAAACAATTTATCTGATTTGTAAGCTTTCTGTAATACTGTTTAGTTTCGTTTTATGTTTTTTATTAGTTTAAGGTTTTAATTTTTGTTGTTATTAATGTTATTATTTTTTGTTTATTCATATCATACTTTTGTATTGCAGTGTCCTGCGTCTCATCTGTTATAAAAGAGTACAACTTTCGTATGCTGCCTGGCAGAATGACCGTCCTAATAACTCGAAGTAGCATCAACGAGGTAGAAGTAGCCACTTACGTTAACCTAGTGTGCCTATGAATGACTTCAAACTGGAAGAAGTCGGCTCATGGATGTCAGATCACTCCTGGAATTATGTAACATCCCAGAAAGGTTCTGTGTTTCTTAAAGTAGATGGCCTGGCTCAACTAACCAAACAAGTCTACATGTGAAAACAAAGTCGTAAACATAATGGATTTAAATTACAATATTAAGACTAATCTTAAAAAAAATGTATGTTCTTTTTCTTGATATAGTGGCATGTTTATAAGTACTCTCCCCACAACACAGTCACGATTTAAACAAAAGAGTCGAAAACCGTAATTATTCAAGTAGTACGGGTACGAAAACAAAGAAAAAAACATTCTTTTGCGCATGTAATGGTAGCGACGTGTGTTTGCTAGCGACGTTCTGGTGTTTACTTCTGCGTAGTGGTAAGTGATAAGACAAATGTTCGTACATAACTTTAACATTTTCCTTGTCGCGTATCGCTTATCACTCTCGTGTTTTTCGACAGACCTTTGAACTGTGTAGTACATTTAGCCTATAATACCAATAGCTCTGTATAAATATTTTTGAAGCTATAAAACTTAAATTGGTCGCTTGACTTGGTTTATGATATATGGTATTTTGAATAATTTATCCTTAAATATGTATAATTAGTTCTACGTTGCAGCGCGTCTATTGACACATAGGAAAATTTATCGTTATATAATTATAAATAGGCTACAAACTCTATTAACCAAAGGTTATTTAATAGCAAAATTTGAAACAAACCAACGCCTGACCTTGCTGGCTAAAGTACAACATTACTTGTTTCAATTATAATATTCTATTAAAAACATGTAATCACCTACAATGCTTCTACGATATGCTACTTGAATATTTTAATCGCTTTTAAATGACTTTCGACGACTACTTTGACGACTAGACATAATACAGAACCTGATAAAAAAAAGGATCGTTATAAGCTGCCAAAAGTTACCAAAGATGCGTAAAATGCACAAGGATAGCAGCCTTAACAAGCTCTAAATGTTTCTATTTATAGTACGCATGTATTATATATTTATCTGTAAGAAATAGACTGGTACTATTTATTTTCGTCTTAAATAACGTGGATATCCGTTAAGGTTCTTATTACATTAATATTACAACATTTCAATTCAGATTACAATTTCAATTCAGGTTCGAGATCTACGTGTCTGTTGCCTTCCACTCGTGCTCTCTGTCCTGGGCCTGACTCGTCCAGTCCCTTCCGTCATGTCCGTCGAGATTGAAGTCCTACCCAACCGTTTATTTGGACTTCTTTTCTGTCTTTGTGCTTTCATGTCTCATTTCATCTGCTATCTCTTACTCTCTAAACTATTTATATACTTGAACATTCCCATTTCAGCTATCTTATTTTGAAAATACCTAGGTTTCTGTAAAAGTTTTATGCCTAAAATACTTCTGTCTATTTTAGTATCACTAGGGTTAAAAAAATTGCTCTGTTCTTTTATGTCAATGTCTTTATATTTTATAATTTCTTCAAAAGTTATGTTAATTTTTTTTTAAATGCTTTTTTTAAATAATTTACGGCCAGTGGTAATGGCTACATCATCTTGTCCTGCTCATTCAGGAAAAACCGCATTAATGCAAATAGATAATACGACATAATAAACATAAGGAAGCAGTTATATTAATGTTTCTATAAGCTTTAGTATTCAAGGAACCGTCACAATGAAGATACATATTTTATTAAGTACGGCTCTAAGTGTAATAAAATTAAATGAAGCATTCAATGATGGATTCGTTCGAGATAGATTCGGGTTAAAAGAGTATAAATTAGATCTTTCGAATGTAAATATTACCAAGCAGTGTGGTGCTAAAGAGAAATGTATTTGGAAATGTTGTCCCGAGGGTGAAATCATGGGGATTTTCAAAACCTGTGTAAAGTCAAATATCAGCATTTCTAATGTTACAGTGTACGATAAGAGTCATATTCGTACTAACAAATCATTGCAAAGTGTGTTCAAATTGGTACCAAATCTAATGAAGGATGACATATTTGCGAAGAATGCACTTTGGTGGTACAGGGCATATTTGACAGACGTGAGTATGCTGCTTATTCATAGTTGTAGGTTTGTGATTCACAGCTACAACGAGTGATAATTTTGAAAAGTGGTGCAATACCATGTGAGAGTAAATTGAGAAAATTATACAAAAGAGTTATTCAAAGTTTCTACAATGAAACGAAACTATCATTTTAACTGGGCTGCATTTCATTTGAGAGACAATGCTTTCCAGTATTCTTATTTATTAAGGCTAAGAGTTTAAAAAGTAATGCAATGGCTAAAACGTCCAGTACTTGTCCTTTTTTGAAGTGGGTAAAAAACTCTGAACGAAACTACCCACTAACTAATTCACAGACAAGTGTTTGCATGAACATAATATTTTACACAACGGATAGAAAATGTCACAGATCGTTGTTAGTGTTATTTTTATTGAAGATGAGTTGTATTTTCTAACAATAGAGTATATACGCCAAAGAAGTATTCGCTCTCTATACAACGTATTGAAAATATAATAATATTAAGATTGATTGATTAATAAATTAGTGAGACTTATATCGTACAAAGAGTGAAAAACGCTCTTACAACTTTCAATCCAGAGAGGATTAAGAATAGGAAATTTTATTAGATAAGCACAGACAGTAAACTTTATATTTTATTTATGTATACAATATGAGTCTCAATTGTCTAAGAAAAAAAAAACGCATAAAGGTATTTAGATCCTTTTACGAAATTAAAAGGAAATCTTGAAATCTTTGTGCAACTCTATAAGGACAGATTAATAATTAATGCGATTAGCAAATATTGAGAAATTTAATGTTAGTCAAAGTTTAATTACTGTGTATGTTTTCAGGATGGACGACTATTTTTAAAACTTCCAAATGTGTACAACAGATGGAAAGAAATACAAACGAATCACTTTTGTGTTGAAATGAAAGGAAATAAAACTAGGCCAGTTTTCATGGTAGAATACGAGATCGATCAACTCAGAAATCCCAGCACCTACAAAAAGTGGGGTAAATATTTTTTTTACTGTATAAAATAAAAACACGTATAGAAGAATTAAAAAAAGAGTTAAAAAGAATGTGGATACAAAAATTACGTTAGTCGGCCACGTTATTTTATATCATGTGTAATATTTTCGTAATTGTAATAAAAACCTTGACTACCCTAGTGACCCACTACCATAGTACCAAGATGGTTCCCAGAAGAATATACATATTTATGATCTTTTACGGTGACTTTAACTTACAGAAAATTTATCCAAACTTGAATGAATATTATTTAAATTTAATTTAATGACATAAAACATTACAGCTCTGGTCGTATCCGTCATATGCCTGAGCATGGCATTGGTAGTATACTCCGTGGTACGGGAATTAAGAGACTTGAATGGTGTCATTCTGATGATACAGCTATGCTGTCTTATCGTTACCTTTATCACAAATTGTATCCTAGAAAGCTTTAATACGATGACTTTACGGATGTCAGAGATTCTGTATGTGTGTAAGTATTGATTAACTAAATAAATAAACAAATTTGTATTACTTCAATATACAACCCTCTATCTATCAAAATCAAACTCAAAAACAATATTTAAATATGACGGAGGACCGATGTCTAGGTTGTTTTAAATAGAGTGAGTTTCTTTGGCGCTAATTCACTTTATACCTACTAGACATTTATTAATTAACCTTCAGTGCATTCTAGCATTTTTCTTAAGTTGGCAATTGAAATAAAAGTGTTCGCTATGTAGTCTTATGTTTAATTCTTGCTATACTTTTAATTAAATTTTCCAGCATTCTTCCATTACTTCTTCAAGGTATCCAGTTTTTCTTGGACAAACATACTGTTCTACCGTCTACTTATGACAAGGTAAACCAACAACATCATATACCTATATTTTACAAATGTGCTAATTTGTTTATTATATACATACCGATTTACTTCGAAGATTTCGTCTTCATTTTACTATAAACCTGGTGACTTGGATGAGTAAAAGTGTGCCTTAAAATAGTCAGTCATAGGTAAATTTTTAGACATACGTTTAATAATTGAACCTTTTTGTAATGACGTGAATAAAATATTCTTTACGTACCTGTTTTGACGTAAGTGACGTATACAAATAATAAATCACCGTCATACAATTCCATGTCAATCATTTAAAGAGAAACCAGAGGTAAAATAGCAGTATACATCCTGATTGTTACTTGAGGTTCACCACAAGTTTATTTTTTATTTTATTCCTCCATCTTTCCCTCTAACACCTCCATCTTTCCTTATTTTGAGTTAAGTAATATCCATAAACCAAGTAGTAATTATACAGATCGTTAAACAAAAATAATATAATTTATTAGCTAGCTAATTTAGGTCAAAACAGAATTTCTTATCATAAAATATTTAATTCACCTTTAAACGAAAAACATTGACTTCATTCTACATAGGAATTTAAACCTTAATTAGGCGCTCTATAAAGAGAAGTATTTCAAAAGGCCTAGTTCTAATGTGTAATTAGTATTGCAGTATTAAATGACAAAATATTTGTAGAAATGAAACATTTTCTATTAATTACTCATTCCTATTTATCACATATAAGAAGAATAAGTATCCTGTTTTATATAATTCTTTTTACATTCTTAATTTTTCAAATTTGCCAAATCAATGTTACGTGAGGCTTACTGAAAGTCTCTGGATCATACAATAAATGAAATTTGAAACCTTTGGGAACATGTTCCTTTATAATTTGCGAGACTGTCATATATTTTTTCATTGTGACGTCCTTTTGAAAATATCAAAATGAATTTAACTCGTGAACATTTTGGTTTATTGATTTTTTATGATTTTCATTGTGGCTTAAGCCAACAAGAGAGTTGCCGGAGGTTTTAATTGACATTTGGTGATGGAGGTTTGGAGAATTTAGACTTTAGTTTATATATGTATTTAAGTATATGTTTATACGTATGTATAATGTGTATGGGTTCTAGTGTATGATAGGTTTATGTACGCACATTTGATATTATAACTACAAACTTTAATCAAAATGCACCTACTTCCTGTTCTCTCTGCATCACCCAAAGGTTGACAGGTAGAGAATGCCTTAGGCATTAAGTCCGCCAATGCACCAAAAGTGCATGATGTATAATTAAATAAAAATGCATTAATTGCGAGGGAATATACTTTGAAAAACAATAAGTGTATCGTAAGTTTTATATCTAGTCTTATTTATCAGAATCCAGAAACTTTCAATATGCCCTAAGTATGTGCAATTTTAATAAATGAAAAAAACGCACAAATATGTTATTGATTACTTTCTACTAATATAAAAGCTGCATTTAATTGTAAGTACATATTTCTTAAATGTTGCAAAAAAATACGTAGTGTAGCGATCCCGAATAAGGTAATAAATCCTCCCAGTTGCTCTTTTTCAGGCGCTGAAAATAGATTTTTCTTTACATATTATTTAACTGTAAGTTAATGTAATAAAACATTATTAAACTAGGCAGAGACTCCACTACGGTAACCAGACTGCTGATAAGCAAAACTATATATTTTTAAATACACATTATACATTAAACGTGCTCATTACACAATTTTTCCCCTTTTTTTCTGTGCGGAACTACCCTCGGATACCACCCACCCAGTTTGTGATTATGGTGGACTCGAACCTACCAAACACCGCAGGCCGTCTCTAGGTACCAGTAGCCGAGGAACCAGGTATACCCTAGAAACGAAAGCCCTGGAACCCCGACGCACCTCGGCCATCTACGGCTTATAGATGACCCCTCCTGTGTGGGATCCCGGATGTTCCCTTACTAACCTAAACCAGATCAACAGGCCAGTCGATACATAAAACTCTTATTCAATAGGGAACGCTGTAACCAATATCTATGTGTCATTTTTGGTTAGTCTTATCTCTTCCTCTATAATTTTCAAATTTATTTTACTGTGTAATTTCAGCTATCGATCTAAAGAATTGCCAGTATCCTGGACGAAACAGTTGACTAAATATTCCGCATATGCATTCGGCTTACCATTCTTCATGACCATCTTGACCGCTACCATTGAGTTAAGCGACATGACTGACACTCCATCATTCGTTACTCCCCAAGTGCAAAACAGGGGTAACTTTAGCTTCCAAGGTAAAATTATATTTAGTTTTGTGGGTTACGAGAATACCAAAGAGAATCCATAATGATCGCGTAGCTAATCGTACATCTACTCTATACACAAGCTTTTACCTTAGCCTGTGGAATTAAAAGAAATACTAATACGGTTACTAAAACATATATTTAAAAAAAATCTGAAACATAAATAATCAATAAATGTTTTCTGGTATAATGGATACATATTTATTCGCGTATTCACTTATTACGTTAATTTAAAAAGAGCGTGAAGGAAATTCTAGAACTATGGATTATATTTACATACATGAACAATTATATTTAAAAAAAAAAAAAAAAAAACAATTAAGATTCCATTAGGACTAATATTTGACAGCACGGATGGCGTTGTGGTTTAAGCGGTGCTGCACTGAGTGTTATGGGTTCGATCCCCACACGGGACAACACTTTTGCGTGATCCATAAGTTGTTGTTTTGAGTCTTGGTGTTCTTAGTGACCGTTTCGTCAATGTTTAGAAAGTCCTCTTCGAACTTTCAGAATAAATAATAAAAATATACCTCTTGGTGTACACCAAAAATAATACAGAGTGAGAATAAAGCATTATTATGCGGCTAGTACAGTTGACAGCCTTATCGCGCTAGGGCAATTTTTACATGCAACCATGGGAGGAAGAAAAACATTAATAATATTGTTGTTTTCAGAAATGGAATCGTTATACTACTTGTACTTTCCACTGTTAGTACTACTTTCATTCAATTGGATAGTATGCTTCGCGAAAGTAATAGAATTTTGCAAAAAATCTAAGCAATTTAGACCAGTCGTTGGAACTCATCCAGTCGATGATGAACTTAACAGGTATGTTATTTGCGTGATACCAAATAGACCAGTTGTAAGGCTCGTAATATATTCTATTACAATAATATATTCTCGTAAATAATTATATGACACAAACAGGATTAGTACAGAACATTATGTGCTCAAGGCTTTGTGTAAACATTATTATTATGAACGCCTCGCAATCGCGTTAGGCGATACGCAGAAATCTTTGTCCTATATTTTTGTTACTTAGTGTTTAATATGTTATGTTACTGTCTTATATGTTACTTATGTCTCTCTGTGATGTTCTAAATATTCATTCATTCAATATCTATTTTCATCTTCGTTACAAAAATCTCTTCTTCTATTTACAGACCGATGCAATTTGTGAAACTTAACACTTTGCTGACCGCCTACGCCTTAGTAGAAATGCTGACAGTTATTTTTCTAAAAGGTACACATGATACTCAAGCCGCATACACCATGTGTATTGGACCAATCGTCCTGATTATATTTGTATGGAACAAGAATGTACTATCACTATTTTTGGAACATGTTAAAACATACAAAAGATGCACCTCGAATTCTAATCAATTCGTAACTGTTTTCCAAAAAAAATAAGGCTGCGATACTAGTACAGTATTAATTATCGTTAAAAATAATTGTCTACAATGTAATATTTTACTAATATTAATAATATAAAGTAATAAATAAATGCGATCGAATAGAACCGGTGATGGATTGTCTACCCATGTCTATGATAATTGCAATTCGATTGAAAGGACAGATAAACATCGTGTTATCATCTCTGGCACTGATTCACTGACTGATCGATCAACGCACGCCGCCTGAAACCGCTGGGTATAGAAGCATGAAATTTTGCACAAATATTCCTTAGGTGACGTAGGTGTGCACTAAGAAAGGATTTTTAAAAATTCCTCACTGGGTACAAAATGGAGGTTGGAAATTTATGCAAAACTAATTTTTTTTAGTAGCATTTTCAAACTCACAGTAAATACTCTTTATTAAAAATTTTTAAATTTTTCAAAACTACCCTTGAAAAGGGATGCAAGTTAGTATGGGGAACTATATATTTTAACTTATTGATACCAAACTCTCACAACAATTATAATTCTTTGTCAAAAAAGAATTACACATATTTTTTTAACTTATCAAAACTTAAGTATGTTTGTTACTCAATCACGCCAAAACGTCTTTCCGAGCCTCGACGAGATAGATAGATTAATTATATTCTAGAATATAATTAATCTATTACTATTTATCCCGGTCAAATTTATTGAAAAAAATGATATTTACGCGAAAGGAGCCGTGGGTAAAAGCTGGTACCACATAATTATTACACATTCTTATAATACCTATTTATAAAAACTACCTATTTATACATCTAAGAAGTATAAAATGTAATCATTTGTTATGAAAGTACATCACGAGTGTATCAGAGCGATCAATAGAGCATTTTTTGGTACATACAAGTGTAGGATAAGTAACCATAGGTTTATGCTTAGAGAATGAGTTTCCTATAAATCTTTCTGAGTAGTGATTTTGGCCATAGCAACATTTTATACTTATAACCTCAAGTGACAAAAGTGCTGAATGTTTAGTTTTCACAAATAGTGGTGCCAGACAAGTAAATTACTTTTCAGGAAACATTCTTAATGTCCTGAATAAAGATTTATATGAATATTTTATTCTGGTAGTTTATTATATTATTAGTTTTTGTTTGGAAAAAGGTATTAATTCTTACATTTACTTAAACCCTTATAATAATAATAACCTCACTGTTTATGGATATATTATCAGGCATAGATGATACGCATTGTTTGGTTTAAAATATTCATTTTAAATGATGACTACGTTTCATTTTGCAAATAGTATTTAGGGTAAAATCTTTTAGTTTAGAACATTTTATTGAAATCTATTCAAAAATTTAACGTCACTGAAAAACGAGAAACCCAAACCAACGTGTACACACATTACGACTTTTGCAATTGTCATATTAATTGGTATTAGTAACTAAATAATAATGTATCAGTTACTCTATCTGTATTAACCATAAAATTATTTAGAAGTATATAGTTATATATTAGTATGGCTGTGTTTTTTCTACCAAAGACATTTATTTTAGTTATTCATAGAAATAAATTTATTGAAAAATAATTTGTTGTATTATTGCTATTTCAAAGTTAGTGCATTTGTAAAATAAAAACAAAATTATATTTTTGAGTCATCTTAAAATTCAAACAATACTGTCGCCTCTGTTACACTGTATTATGTCTATGTGTATATGTTTTTTTTTAAAGACAACTCCCGCATTAAGAATATGTATATCTTTGTGTCGCGGGGGACTTTACAAACGCACATGAAACGGACACAAAGAACACCCAGACTCATAACAACAATTTGTGGATTACACAAAGTGTAGTCCCATGTGGGGATCGGACCCACAACACTCAGCGTAGTAGTAAGCAGCGCGGCGACCGCTTAAACCACTACGCCATCCGTGCAGTCTAAAATTTGTATATAAATAATAAAGTATATAAAGAAGTACTTAATTGTACGTAATTAAAATACATATAATAGTTAAACACAAAAATAATTTGAGCAATACTACGTTCATTAATTGTTCCAATTTTTAAACATCAATTAACAAAAAAAAAAGTAATATAAATAACTACTCATTTTTACATTTCTTTTTTATTTAATAAATAAACAATATTGTAAAAGTACCTGAATGTAAAACATCATATTCTCATTGGCATCCCCAATTCATTAACAATGGATGTGATGGCCGCGGCGTGAAGACCCTTCATCTCAGATTATGTCGGGACCCAGAACTAAATCCCTGACGTAACAATACCGTCCGACACCACTTGCCTGCCGCTACCCGTTTTACAATATTTCTTATACTTACGGATAAAAAATTCACAAAGTGCGAAAGTTGGATGGCAATGATTTTTATAAATAACTAAAATAAATGTATCTGACTGTAATAATTACTTTATTAAACTGAGGTTAATTTCAGTGAAGATTTTAATTCCATCAAAAGCATTTCTCGATATTATTTATTTATTCTTTATAGTACACATTAAAGATTAAATAAGTGACTAGGATACTACATGTACAAAGACGAGCTTAACGCAAACCTGATTTTTATATAATTTCAAACAAATACTAACATTAATATAAATACATACAAATAAATATAAATAAATGCAGACATATATACATACATACATTATGTATACACAAATACCTACATACTATGGGCTTAATTATTGAAGCGAGCGATAGTAATCCCTGGCTCTCATCTTGAAAACGCTCAGAGAAGGGCTATTACATTAAGGCATTCGATAGCCGCACACCCGCAACACTAAGGGAATTGTCGTAACGACTTGTCCTATGGGAAGGAGTTTGAAGGAGAAGAAATGAGGATGAGAGGTTATTCCTGGGATCAAAGTGCTCGAAGCGCTCACGGAGGTATGTAGGAAAATTGGGATTTCAGTTTAGTTTTCTCCGAAATTCCCCAAACATGATCGTTCTTTTTCAAGCATAGATTTTAACGGATACCACCTATCGGTGGCATGTCGGACTCGAACCGACTAAAACCGCACGCCGTCTCGGGTACTAATAGCCGGGGAACCAGGTATACCCTAGAAAGGAAGTCCCTGGTGCCCCGACATACCTCGGGCCATCTACAACAACAGGTAGACGACCCCCCCGTGTGGGAACCCCATGTTCCATCTGCTCCCTGGAAGCGAGCGCGCTTCGAAACGCGCTCGCCGCCACCCCGGCCTGCTTCTGCTAGGGTGACAGATGGCCCCACCTGTCACCCCCAGGCCTGCGCTTATGGAGGACGGAGGTCGTTCTGCGACCTCCGGCGCCTGAGTCGCCTAAGGTACCTGGCCCGTTCCCGGGCCTGGCGGGCCGGGAGAGTCCTAAACCTCTCCCGGCCCCGCTCCGCCGTCTCCTTCGCGAGCATAACTTGCTCGCAGAAGGAGACGGCAGAGTTCCACGCACTCTCGCTCCGCACGATAGCCGCAATCAGGCTATCGAGCGAGAGAACTCCCACTCCGATGGCCGCCACGAAGTCTCGCCTCTGCTCAATCCACGCCGGACACTCTGCCAGCGTGTGGAGAGCCGTGTCCACGGTCTGGCCATCGCAGTGGTGGCACTCAGACGTTGGCTCCTTGCTGATCAGACACAGGTGATCCCCGAAACATAATTTCCCAGTGATCACCTGCGTCAGTCGGTATGAGAAGGTCCCGTGACGCCTCTCGAGCCAATCCTCCATAAAGGGTCTTACCGTGGGGTCTTACCGCCACGATGACGGCGTGCCCGGCGCTCGGTTGCCCGGTGCCCTCCACTCCCCTATGATGACCTGTCGGAGTTGGGATTTCCGGTCATGATAATTACCTACATACAATCACATTCATATATGAATACATTTTGATAAAGAGTATTTTAAAATCACTTTTTTATATTATCGACATATTTACACGCTCATAAACAAAACACAGCTATATTTGATAGGGCAACCATTAGGCTCGGACTCCACCAAAGCGGAGATGTGCGCAGATGTCCGAAGCGGAGACGAGGAGAGATATTTTTCAGCTAGGGTGTATTCACCGAAGCTGTGCGGAGCTGCGTACTGGCTAGACTGGAGCGGAGATGTATGCTGGCTAGGGCGGAGATGTGCGCTGGTTAGAGCGGAACTGAGCTGCGTGCTGCTGCGTGATGGTTTCTTTTAATAATTTTACTAACTTCAGTCTACTATATGGACAGTTGTGTCTGTATTATTTTACATTCACAATCAAAGTATTTTTGATTATGGATGGTTGGTAAAATTGGATTGGTTAAACATGTTATCTACGATAAAAATTGTTGTGTAACAAATCTGTTCGTGTGTATCAGTGGTCAGTTGTAATATACTCGCGTCAATATCAACCCCTAATTAGGCTGGATCCCCCTTACAACACACCCAATTAAAATACATATTTTGAGTAGTTACACTAATTGGCAGATCGCTCTTTTTAAGACCTTCATGCATAACCCTGCTATTAATATTACATACATATACAACGTCCCTTCTACTTATAAATATATAATTTTTATACTGTTTGTATAATTTTAAATTAATAGCTAGCTAGTGTTAAATAAAATAGAAAACATTACCTCTATTAGCTTAACGGTACTCAATATTGATGTTTTATAAACACTAAGGAACGTTCTCTATTTTTTAACTTATATTAATTTTTATAGACAATTAAAATCTGTGTTACCAACCCACTCAAGATTCCTTAACTTGTTTATAATACTTAATTTTACTTTAGGTCTTTTTGCTAGTGATAATAAGAAAAATATATTTTTTTAACAAGAATGAAAACAATAACCAATACGAAGATACAATACAATAAGAAAACGCTATTTTTTCCAAAACAAAAGGGACATTTATATATTGTGTTATTGTACAAGTATGAACTATTTAGATATCAAATAAAAGTATTAACTATAATTTATATAGAGCATTAATAAATAATCTAGAGGTTGATAATTCTATATTATGTATAATACACTATTAAGATTTTGAATCCAGTGTCAATCACCTTTGATCACATATTCAAAGCAGTGTTAGTTAACAAGTAAATCGAGAGACTCAGCTTATCTTTCTTAATTCATGCAACGTCACGATGTCTATCCACCCTGATACAATTTCCCCGTGGACCTCGACAAGATGAAGACATCTAATTACGAATTCGATGTTTCCAATAAATATTCCAATCGAAATTTACATAGAGTCGAGTTTATAACATCTAAAGCAAATGTACTTGAAATGAATAGTTTATCTGATCAGAATGTAAACAGTTGTTTTTCAAACAAAGCAGAAAGAAAATCAAATATGGCAATACTATGCAGACGACATCAAAGACTACAAAGTATAGACTCAATTACAATTTTGAATTGATAGTTCCAGAAAACCCTTATTAGGTAGACCACGAAATAAGGCAATTTCGTGGACAAAAGGCGGCCCCTTATTGTGCGATGGACGCTGTCGGCAATTCAAAAGTTCTCAACTGACGGGTAGGGATGAGGCCACCCTAGCTGTCCGAATTTATTGAATTTCATCTAAAGAAGGATGACCACACGTTTATTGTTCTCCCGAAACGTTGATTAGGGTAGAATTTTGTAGCAGGTATATCGGTTATGTATGATTTAATGACGTTGGGGACCAACGCTGGAAGGACGGTGTGTGTACTTTATTTAATAGCAACACTGACAACACCCTTGAAAATTTTGAAACAAAAATGCTTACTGGTAGATTACTTTGGCATGAATATCTTTTATAAGCTTCATTAGGATTTTCATTCTAAAAATTACATTTCTTTAATATTCGGTTTAACAAGTTCCAGACAGAAAAACTTCAAAAAATTTACGGTTCAATCCAAAAATAGTGAAACACGCACATACAAAAGTTAAGTTGTACTTATATGAGAGTAGAGTTCCTAACAAATTAAGTACTTTACTTTAAATTTAAAATGTACGCAGCATTCAAAATTTTATTCTAATAATATTTTGTTTCTTCTAATAATATTAATAATAAAGATTAAGCTCGTATTTCAAAAATATAATATCTGTGTAGTGAACACTAAACCTCCGTGTATGTTCGAATACAGTAGCCGTGGCGCGTCGCCTCGACAACGGGACAATTTGTCCCAGGCGGGGGAGCTTTTCAATAATAATTCCACCATAAATTCTGCCAGTGACCGCGGCCTAAGGGATAGTGGTCCTACAATTAATTATTATATTGCCTTTTTGACTGCAAGCTCCGAATAGTTTCTTTATTGAGTTGCGGTTGTTATTTAGGTGGTATTTTGTGTTGATTTGTTACGTCGATAACAGAGATATTTTGCCATGGGGAAAATGGGAAATGGTTCCACAATTACAAGGTGTGAAGTTTTACTATTTAAATAAAGAGATCTGGAACAAATTAATTATATGATGAATGACCATGAACGTTAATATATACAGGGTTACTGGGTAAGTCGACCTAAATACTTTAAGAGTTGGAAGTTGCTATCATTTCTGATAGATTTTAACATGAAACACTATATCTCAAAACAAACCATTTTCAAGGTATTCGATTTTTAAGATCTTTTATAACAATTGCTGAAATTTTGCCTAATTCATTTTTTTTTACTAAACTACATACTTTTATTTTATACTTTTTTACTGTTTTTGTGTTGTTGATAAATTGTTTTATAATTTCAATTACTAAAATTGTTGTTAACTACACAAACTGCGCTGAAGTAAATGGTTAAGAACAGCAAAAAGAAAAAAAACAGGATATAGTAGTCAAGGATAGTGTCAGAATTCATAGAAAAAAAGCTAAGATGAAAGAACTATTAAGAATCAATGCACAACCCGGTAGTGCCTAGATGAAAACTAGGCTTATTATTTTTGGACTGCTTCGTTTTCTATTCGTGACTAGCTATTGCTAACTGGACTTGGATTTGTGCTTCTGATACTGTTGGATATGATGACCTATACAAACAAGGCATGTGTTCATATTTTGATTTCTTATGGATACTGCCAATGCGTATCCGCACAAGCCACTCAACCAACTTATTAATAATTAGAATCTAGCCATTCTTTCTCCCTTCTCCTATAATGCGAAGAGCAACCGTCATGCTGAAACCTCATGCCGCGAATGAGAGCAGGTGTTAAATCATTAATTAAGTTGGTTAAATTTTGTACCTAAAATTTTTCCTACTGTTCGTGTCATTATTCTTCTCTTCCATGTCTATTCGTTTAGATACCTATTTGTTTTCGATCATAAGTTCGGATCCTTTGCTAGGCTCACATGTTTACATTTTTCTTTTATAATAGGTTGAATCAACAGTAAATGTAATTTATAGAGAATTAAATTTAATATCGTACCTATATATACTTTGATTGTACAAAACGCTTCAGTAGATATAACACTGAATGCTATGATAATATAAAGGAGAATATAAAATCAGAGTTCGATTCCTGCAATATTATCCAACAATATTATTCTAAGTTCATCCACCTTCCTCGCCAATGTCTAGTGCAATTTGTTACTATAATGCTAGCCATCTGTCGCTCAACTACCAACATAACTCAGACAAGTTACACTCAGCCCGTTATAACCACTCTGATATCGTATAATGGCTATTTTGTTAGCCGTTTATTGTTATTGCACTGACTGAAGCCTCAATCGTCATGGAAGAAATGGATTGATGCTATTAATATAGCCAAGATGTGTCTTGCTTTATATTAATGAATGAAAAAATACAAGACAGAATACTACAGCTGCTTTATTTGAATTATGATGCTGTATTTTTTATGTTTATTTGTTAACATTTGCTGTAGGAAAGTCAGGGTAGGCAGGCATGTACCAAATTGATTAGAAAGTTTACTTGTCACGAATTAATCCTTTTGTTATTATTTTAATTATAATACCTATCTTGGGCGTAGCTTGTAAAGGTTCTTCCCTCTTGACATTCATTTCAACAAAAAATCACACCAGAAATCTTGTGAAAGTAATTTCTCACTCACTTTCTATCTCTTTTGAACTAACTACCTTTAGTCAGTGTTGTATACAAACTTTTCGCTTTAGGAAAAATAAATCAACGATTCAACCCAATTGTTAATCTCTTAGTCTTTAAATTAAATCTACTACTATTATTATCCCTTTTATTCTCTATATAAAAAATAACTTTGAAGACCCAAAAAATGATACACAAATGAAACACCTTACCGACCTTAAGAAACTACTTAATTCGGGTCTTGTTCCACCAATATTTCTGTAAGGCAAACTAAGGGAAAATTGTGAAATTGCTATCGTTACTCATATAGTGCATGGAGACCTTATTAAAGTTTAAGGTCCTGAACATTATTCATGAGCAGGATACGGTCTCAGTTGATTCCCCACACGTAATGGTTGCTATAAATTTGTTGAATTTTATTGGCTATTAAAATAAATAATGAAAGTGTTTGGTTTCGAGTATTATGCAGTAAGTTTTTAATTAAATAGTAATGGAATGAATGCAGTAATAATTATATTTTTTTAAAAGTACAAGTGACTTTAATGTACCTCATGTTTGACCTGATACCAAATAATAAGCTGTATTCTGTATAAATGTCTCATTATTTGATAAAACTTTATTTGACAAAATTACTAAAGCTTTTAATGTCAACGGCCCACCACTTTTTACAATATAGCTAGTTACTAGCAAAAATCGTTTATATTAATTTAATCGAATTATAAGCGAAGTCGAAATACTAATTATTCAATCATTCCGATGGCAGTCTCGGTGATCAATTTAACCAAATGATGCTTTGCAAGAGCAAACGAACGAGTACTATATAAATACACAAATCGCTATAAGTATGTCTCTAACATTAGATTTATCTCTTTACTCATGTAACCTTTAAGAAAAATATTTCAGCTAATTCATTTTAATTGAGAACCTTCTTTTGTAAAAAAATGCCAAATCGATATACATAGGTTTACCTATCTACATTTGAAAAAACCCTTTCATATTTTGGTGATCCCGTCATCTGATGCTAACATAAAGACTTACTAGATTATATACTTGAAACTAAAAAATATTTATTCAGTTCGGTCAAACCATCTTTAAGTAGTCAGGTTAAAAAAATTAGGGACCACTGCCCTACTCCTTTTCTTCAATCGGTTTTACTAAGTTTTATTAAATTGTTTAAAGTT